TTTTGTACTTTTCAGGCAATGTCTTATATGTTGTTGTAGTATGCCTTCGAATCAATTTCGACTCACAGAATTGAAGAACAGAATTCCTAAAGGACAGAATTGAATTGACCCATAGGGCTTTCTAGATTGTAATCTTTACAGCAGTTGATCCCCAGGCTTTTTCTCCTGCCAAGCTGCTGGCAGGTTCAGAGTGTCCAGTACCTAACCATAACACCACCAGGGATCTTATGGTATTACGAGTTTCCATTAACCTCTGCCTCTTTCCGGTTCTGATACACACCCTGAACAACGCTGAGAGAAATGGCAGAGGAAAGGAAGCTACTAGGCTAGGTTAAATCTTCCTTATGGGAAGTCTGCCTTGTTTTGCCTTTTTGTCCCCCGGTGGAATTTTCATTGGCCTCTGTTTTTCCACATCCATTTATTTATTCATTCTTTACTTAATTTCTTAAGGCTGGAAAGAGCTGGATTATCTAGGACAGGAATGGCAAATAGGTTTCATCTTGACTTTCAACTTCAATAGATCGTTAGGGGTGGCTTGAGTGTGCTGTAGCATCTGGACTCAGTGTGCTGTAATTAACTACATCTGACATAGTCCCGGAAGGCAAAAGTCTGGCTATATGGGCCACATACTTGTCATTCCTAGTCTAATGCCACCTCCCACCTAATACAAGCAGCCTCCAGTCTACATTGTTACTCTGAGATGGTTTTTGCTTAAGTCATTCATTGACACAACTCTCTTCCTATTTGGATTGCTCCCTTTGTTAGGAGGTTCTTCCCTGGCAGCATGGTGGAATGTGAGGGACTAGACTGATGCAGATGACATAAACCTGCTTCTGACTCTGCCACTGACTAATTTTGTCATTCTAGGGAAGTTCTCTGTGATACAGGGGGTCAGAATTGACTCAGATGGCAGTGGGTTGAGGAAGTAACAATCGCTTTAGGTCTTATTATCCACCCGGGACTGAAAAACTGGAAATGAGTAACCACAAAGTTTTCTTCTTGCTCTAAAATCCATTTATTCATATAAGCCAATATCTGCCTCTCAAGGACAGCTTCCATTAGCTCTAGTGATACAAGCTGGGCGTACATGATAGTCCTTCAAATCTCTGAGAACCTATGCCCCCTCTGGTTTCTTTTTGCTGTTGTTCTGTGTTTTCTTCCAGATTAAACATGTCCAGTTTCTTTAATGATCTCATATGGTAAAATTTCCAGATTTTTCACCAATCTGGTAATTCTCTTCTGTACACTCAAGTGTGCCTATGCACCCCTGGAAGAGTGGCTCTGGTACCGGGCCCAAGCTGGTTATGTAGTGGGGTCTTCCCACTACTTCTCCATGTGCTCAATCTGCCCCTTCTGACTATGAGAGACGCCACTCACCTTGACCAGTGCGTAGCAGCCTTATGGGAGGCACACACTACAGCCTCCTCTGGATCTGCAGTTTTAGAGGTCCTTCCTGCAGGCAGCATGCAGAACAGATGTACAGAGCCATGGAGTCACATGTGGAAGGAGATGGTACTTCCCCTGAAGGACCAGCAAGTAACTAAGTGCTAATTAACTGAGCAGGTGTTACTTCTTAATAAACATGAAAGGAAGGTTTCCCAGAGATGTCAGCAATGTTTGCAGCAGTTTTTGTTTTTTAAAAAAAGAGAGGCACTAGGTATTCATGTCTCCACTGGTGAAAAAGAGTCTTCTCCAAGCCTTCTCTCTTTCTGTACTTCATCCTCATTCTCTCTGATATGCTACATGGCCCCATTGCCCTGGAAGCTCTTGTATTTGTCTTTTGTGCAAAAAGGCAGGTACAAAGACTATTGCTCAAGGAAAATAAAAATGAAAACCAGCAAAAGCAGATTTGTAAGGATTCTTGTCTGACAACAAACCTACCAGAAACAATGGTGTCAAGGTCGTCCTTGGAGGAACCAAGCCCAGATTCTCAGTGTGACATCCAGACAGATGTGGTGTTCTCCCTGCCACCCTGATCCTAAAGACAGGGTGTTCTGAAGATCACACGGTCCCATACGAGCTGGTCCCATACTAAATCCCTGACCTTTCCTCTCATAGTTAACTAGTGCTGCTGTAACCTCCAGAATCATGCGAAAATAAATTTCTTTTTGGGTGTCTTTAACAAAAATAAATTAATTTTCTTATGGTTCTGGAGGTTACAAGTCCAAATGAGAGTCTTAGATATGCCATTTCCTTCCTTGTAGGCCTTCCCAGAAGAAGCTTTGGTAGCGTAGTGGTTACGAATTGGGCTGTGAACCTTAAGGTCAGTAGTTCGAAACTACCAGCTGTTTCATGGGAGAAAGATGAGGCTTTCTGCTCCCGTAAAGGTTTCCAGCCTTAGAAACCCTGTACAGGGTCACTCTGAGTTGGAACGGACTCCATGGCACATAACCACCACCACCACCAGACCTTCCCAGGCCTTCTTCGGCTCCTTGGTTTGTTGATGACCCTCACATAGCCTTGGTTTTACCTTGTGTGTTTGTGTGTGTGTGCTCACATGCTCAGGTCTCAGCATCTAATCTGATCCTTTTATAACTCAGAAATTATTAGATTTAGACCCACTGTACTTGGGTATGATCTAATTAGCATGACAAAGAAAACACGGTTTCAAAACAGAATTACATCTATAGGTGTAGGCCATAAGATTCCAATACATATTTTAAGGAGGGGGGACTATTTAATCTATGACCCCTCCCTTGTTTTGATCCAGCCACCCTGGTCTCTATTCTTTGTAAACACCAATCATGATCCCACTTTGCATTTACCAGTGTCTCAGTATGCAATACTGTTTCCCTAGCCAGCGCGCGGCACAGCCTTCACTTCATTAGGTCTCTGTTCTAATGTGACCTGACTTGAGACGTGTTCTCGGATTGCTTTATCTAAAATGGCACCACTCCTTCCCAACCCATCATCCTCTAGCCCTTTACTTACTTACCTTCTTGTTATTAATAAAACCTATCAAGCCTGGACGCATACAGCTTATTTATATTATCTGGCATATCAGCTCCATGAAAACAAGGCCTTTGCTTGGTTCATTACTGACTCTCAAGTACCTAGAACTGTACCCATCACATGCTAGGAACTTACTCAATATATGCTGTTGTGTGACTTTTAAAGCTCAAAACCCCATGCTTATTAGCACAATTGGTTTCAAGGAAGCATTCTTTGTTTTCTAGTGGAGGGCTCATTAGGCTGTTAGTTGACAAATGAGTCACTAGGGATAGGAACGTTTGTTTATTTGAGTAACATAGATCTGGACAAAAAGGCTCTCATGTACCACACAGCAAAACCCCTGTCAGAGTGAGGTTATTAGGAGTGACCTAGTGGAGGGAGAACTCTGAGCCTTGTTCTCTCTAGAGCTGCTCTGACCTAAGCTAGGGTATGAAGAAAGGTGGGAAGTGGTGTGAGCATGTGTTTTCTTGCCTTGTATAGTTTTCATGACACCTTGGTAGATCTGGGCTTTCTCATCCACCTCACCTTGAGGGGCCAAGGTCAGTTTTATGTGTTCAGTGATGAGGACACAGAATGTCTCTAGGTGTTAGGTGAGGGCAGTGCAAGCTGTCTGGTGATGGAAGAAAAGTGGGTACGAGAAAGGGATAAGAACTAGGCAAAGTCATGTGACCAGTATGCGGTCCTTGAGCAGAGTCTGCAGACAAGAAAAGTACAGAAACAGTCAAGTGGAGGAGTAACAACATGTATCTAGGAGGTCAGTTGTGCTGGTCATTTGTCCGAGATGATGTGATTGTTCAGACATTGTGGTCCTCTTTTGTAGGAATCACATCCTGGGTGGAGTAAAAACAATTCACAATCTCATTTGTGTCTTCAATGCCTTCTTCCTTTCTATTATCTCTTCCTCTAAGTATTGAGGCCCCAGGAAAAATCTAGTTACCTTTGGGACAAAGTAACCCCAAACCTAATGAATCGATCTCTGAGTTTAAGTTTAGCTCATCAAATTTTTGCAGAGGGGCAATAGCCCAGAGCTTTTCTACACCAGATCATTCCATGGCAGATTGCATTTTTCAAAGATGGTCACAATGATAGCTTTCAGCCCACACTGTCTTCTTTCAAAGTGACTTTGACAAGTCTTTTGCTGAATGGTGGAGTCTTTGTCCCTTCTTGAACTTGAATGACTCTTCTTTATTTGTATCTGAAAATGTGGTAGATTTTAGGATGCTCCAACATCCCTACCCTCCATTAATTTTTTTTCTGCTTTACTCCCCCTGGCTCCCTATTCTCTTAGTGCCAGGCAGAAAGTGGTGCCTTCCTATTGATGGGACAAATTCAAAGTCTCTTTTCCTGGTTACTGTGCTAGAGAGTGAAGAGAACCTCAATCTCCATTCCCAGATCTTGCAGGAAGCATGAGGGTCAACAGAGATGGTAAAAATATATCAATAAGATGTCACCTGCAAAATTACATCTCAATCATGGGATGTCAACCAATCTCTGCAAAATATCTTTGAGAGGCTATGAACTCAGTTGACCTGAGAGTTCTTCTGGCCAGAGTTCTTCTGGCTCTTTTACTTTTCTTATGATTCTTATGATGCCTTGGTCATCAGGAAGCATCGTGATCTCACATTACCAGGCTGGCACTCAGGCTAGAATACATGATTCTAAATGTCTCTGCTAGTTCAAATGTCTAATGACTTCCAGAGCTCAGGACCCAGATGGGAGGCAATCCTCGGGTGCCAGTTGGCTAATACTTTATAAATAGTGGCAGAGGACCCTGGACAACTTTCAGTATCTTTGAGGGACATACATGTTAGACTCTTCTTACCCAGAGCAGAGCCAACACATGCAAAATGGGGAGAAGGAAGGGAAGGATACGGAAGTTTGTGCCAGTTCTTTCTGTCCTCCTCGTGTGACAGTTTCTCAGGTTGCTCCCAGCAGGTGGGGAGAGAGCCTCCCAGGAGCTCTGAGGACCACTGAGGATCAACATGTGCTTGGATAGCAGGGCTCCTGATGATCTAGGCATCAGCTTGTAGCCTCTCTCATGGCAGATCCTACACAAGGGGGTTCTCTGTCTCTGGAGTTACCTCATCAGCACAGACATCTTTCTTCTTTTTCCCTGGTGAGAAGATCAGAAAGAAAGTTACTCCTACAATGCTTGGAATCTTGGCATCCTTGGGTTGGCCCAAGGTCTTTAACTCCTAACTATTCCATCCTAAGATCACCTCAGTCAAAGGATTATCTCTCCTGGTCCTCCAAGATCCTGGAAAAGGAGACACTTCAAGAACAGAAAGTTCCTCATAATGTTTAAATTTGATCTGAAAGTTATAATGTTAGCTGTAAGAAGTCTAGAAAGTTAGAGTAGACCCAGTGAAGTATGACTGCCCAGGAGTCATGTGGCAGAGCCTCTAGGCCCTATGCGGAGCCTTCTCACTATCCCAGGTGGTCATGTTCTCTGTTCCTTGTCATGGACAAAGGTGCTCTTTTATGAACCTTGAAAATATGACGGTATATGAAAGAAGCCAGCACAAAGAACCCCATGTTATAAACTCCATTTATAGAAAACATTCTGAAGAGGCAAATGTATAGAGACCAAAAGTAGATTAGTCTCTGGTAGCATAGCAGTTTGAAACTATCAGCCGTTCCACGGGTGAAAGATGAGGCGTTCTGCTTCCGTAAAGATTTACAGCCTCAGAAACCCTGTACAGGGTTGCTATGAGTCTGAACCGACTCCATGGCACACAGCCACCACCACCAAGGCTTGAAGTGACAGCTAAGGGGTGTGGGCTTTCTTTTAAGGGTAAAATTGCTTGTGATGATGGCTGCACAGCTCTGTGAATGCACTAAAAGCCGCTGAATTGTATACTTTAAGTGGGTCAAGTGTATAGTATGTGAATTCTATCTCAATAAAGCCATTGGAGAATAAAAGTTGCTCTTTCCTGGTTTCTACCTTCTTAGCACAAATCCTGGGGACTGTCTGCATAGCAGACAGGACCTCTAGCAGCATACAATCTCCTCCCTTCTTGCCCCCTGGAAAGAGTACACAGAAATCAGTCATTTCCTCTGGTTTGGTGGCTGGACCAAGGTGCTCGTCTTCTGAGATAACCTCACCATAATGAGATCTCAGTGCCTTTCTTTCCTTGCTGACTCAACTCAGTCTGCCCTGGGACTAGCAAATTTGGAAGGGAAATGGTCATGAAGTCCAGGTCACTAGGGATGATTCTTTCAGGGACAGGGCATACTAGGGCAGAAATAACAGTTAGATCTAGAGTTTAGGACCTTGCCTGATCTCTCTGAGTTTCCCCTTTCCTCTTTGCCTCAAGCAGGATGCACTATCAAATACTGGTTAGGGTATACTTCTCACAGGGAGCCATCTCTAGGAATGGCAGGCAAGCAGGGGCTGGAATTCATCTATCCTTCCACTCATGACACCTTTTCTGAATACAAGCTGTGTTCCAGAAACTCTTGTTAGATGCCCACTGGTACCCAGACTCTGTCTTTAAAAAGCTCAGCTTTCAGCACAGAAGGAAGTGTAGTAAGTGCTGTGATTGGAGTAGGCAATGGGAATGAAAGGAAGGTGTTTAGGGGAGAATGTTGGGGTAGGGGGAGACTTCTGAAGAGGAACACTTTGAAGATGAAATAGGAGAGAATCAAGTGAAGAAGTGGAATTGGATGGGCAATCCTGGACAGTGTGTTGCAGAACAAAGAACAGCATGTGCAAAGATCTGGAGATGCATGTGAGAGTCATTCATTTGAAGAACCACACACAAAAAAAGCACAAAAAATCCCAAACTACAGCAAACCAAACCAAACCAAAAGCAAAATAAAACACTTCAAGTTGTTCAGTGTGACTAAAGGCCAGCGTGTGGAATGGAAAGGGGGAAGAATTGAGGTGGGAGAGGTAAGAAAGGGCCTATCATCTCATGAGAAGGAAATTCAGGCCTGCTCTCCTTACTAGTTGACCCCCATCTCTATTCTCCTCTTGTACCTGCAGGACTCTTACCTGAGCAGGGACCACAGTGCCAGGCAGACAGGAGACCAACTAGCCCCAGGAGCAGTGAGATTGGTACCACCACCAGTAGCAGTAGATCTTTATAGGAGGCGTTTCCTGGGGCTGGACACAGAAGTGGCAGAGTTAGAGGTAGAATTAATTCGTGGTCCCTCAACTACTCCCCAGTTTACTCTGACTTTGGGCATACCTGCCTCACGGTGACAGCTCTCCCATGGGGTGACTGTGGCCAAGTCCCAGCTGACAGGGTTGGAGACAATGCAGGAATAGGCCACACTCTTGTCTCTTGGTCCCAGTGAAACACTTAGCACCTGTCCATTTGCAAGCAAGCCATGTGGTTCAAGATCAAAACCAATGGCTCCCTCCTGTCGCCAGCTATAAGTGACATCACTGATGTTGGGGGCCCAGCAGGACAGAAAGACTTGACACATCTTGGGGGGCTGGGAATCTCCTGCTGCAGCAATGAACACTTGGACTGCTGGCCTGGGCACTGCATCTGGGCAAGAACAGAAGAGTGGGTGTGAGTTACAGGGGAACTGGGCTGGGCCCACAGTTCTGGTTTTGGGACCAATGCATGGCTAGACGCCTGCTTACAAACCTTGTCTGTTCCCATTTCCCACAGGACAGATGCCAAACTCCTTAACTTGGTAATGAAAACTCTTCATTATTTGGTGATGCAAACCAGCCTCTTGAGCCATACCTCTGTCTGGTCCTCTCTATCCAACCTAATTAATTTGCAATTCTTCTAAACATGTCATGCTCTTTCATATCTTTCATGTTTTCCTAAAGACACAAATCTCTCTCCTTCTAGTCCTCTTTAAAATTCCTACTGATCTTCAGGGCCCAGCTTGGACCCATTACTTAATGCCCTGGCTGTGAAGTCTTTTCTGCTATTTCAGGTATGGCTCTGAGCTCTCCACTCTGCATTCTGTCTCACCTTTTCTTTTAGTGTTTTTTTCAGTCAACAAAAAACAAGTCCTTGTTAAGTCAGGCAAGAAAACAAATTCACCTCCTCGCCTTTTGAAATTTATAGTTTGGTGAGGAAGACAGATATTGACACGGGATTATAAATAATTAAGAAAAGGACTACAGGGTGCAAAATGCTGTGAAGGAGGAACCAGAGGATGGGAGCTCGGTCTTGTTACTTTGATAACCCTAGGTCTCGAGTGCTGGCAAATAGTAAAAACAAATTTACCAACCAGTAAATCAAACCCACTGCTGTTGAACTGATTCTGACTCACGGCCATCCCGTGTGTTACAAACTAGAACGTCTCCATAGGATTTTCTTGGCTGTGATCTTTATGGAAGTAGATTGTCAAACTCTTCTTCCATGACACCACTGGGTGAGTTCAAACTGCCAACTTTTAGGTTAGTAGTCAGGTGCAAACCATATGCATCATCCAGGGACTCAGAAGAATTGACTGTCATTGTGATGGGGTCCATTCTGACTCACTGCGACCCTGTAGGACGGAGTAGAACTGCCTCACAGGGTTTCCATGAAAGCAGCCTGCCACATCTTTCTCATGCAGAGCGGCTGGTAGGTTTGAACTGCCAATCTTTCGGTTCCCAATGAACTGCTTAATCGCTGTGCCACCAAGGCCCCTGCTGGCAAATAGTAATTTCTCGAAAATCAGGCCATCGGACAAATTAGCATCCTAGGTTGGAATTCCTCTTTCGTGTATAGGTAGGTAGATGCCTGAATCCTGGACCTTGATGGCAATGAGGACCAGTTGGGGAGCGTTCTGGTGACAACAGGAGGGTTCAGGCTCTGACAGCACTCCGAAATCAAACAGAGTAAAACCTCATTAATGCCAGCTCAGTCTGGTGAGGTTTGTGATAAGAAAAAGGAATGATTTGCCGGGCACACTAATAGTATAAACAAAGATTACAGGGGGGTATTTACACTACTTAAGAGGACAAGCTGCTTCCAAACACGATCAGGCACAGTAGAAACACCCATTGACATTTCTCGTAACTGATCTACTAATTCAAATCATTCGTATCTATTGTCAAAGCAGAGCTCCTAAGGACTGCTGCTTGGCAGCTTTGTGCAATTAGTTCTAATCACGTTATGTATTTGGAAGCAATAAAACAGCAATTTCCTTAAAATCTGTAATTCAGATGCTGAGAACAAGGCATTTTAGAGCTTAGTGGTGTGGGTGCTGCATGTATTATCACATTCAGCGTCCTCATTTCACACATGCGGCAGCTGAGACTCAGAGCGAGGGAGAGGCTCCAAGGCTGCCTGGATGGTTGGGTAGATGCTTCACTGCACAGCGGTACTAGGCTAAGCAGTACCGAGGGTGGGATGCTGAAATTCTGCCAGCAACCAGTATAGGACTATATATATACAGAAGGGTACCCTTCTAATTGTACAAAGGTTAGTGGCACCCTGATTGCTTACCTGAGGACAGCCAGATAGATAAGCTGTCTGTGTGTCTCTCTCTTTTCTAATTTGTTCATTGCTGCTTTCCCTCCGACTGCTTCTTCCTAGCTGCCACCCCTGCTCCCTATTCTTAACTTGGGACTCTCTCCAAATTTCTACTAAAAATGTAATTTGGGGTCACTTATATCTCTTTTCAGCCCCTGAGGTAGATAAATGAGAGCTGAACGGCTATTCTTCTTTCATCAGCAGGAGCATGGTTGGAATGGTGGAGATGATGCAGGAGGTGATGGTGGAGATGGTGAGGGTGAAGGTGGTGATGGTGGTGGTGGTGGTGGTGATGTGAAGAAGGTAATGGTGGAGGTAGTGATGGGGATAGTGTAGTAAAGGAGGTGTTGGTACAAGTGGTGGTTGAGGTGGTGATGTGAAGGCAGTGATGGTGATGGTGAAGGTGAAGAAGTGATGGTAGAGGTAGGAGAGGCAGTGGCTGGAAAGAGAGGCCCAGCCAGCCCTCCAAACCAATTTAGCCCCCCAGTTGAGGTAGTGAATGTAGTTGCACCACTGACTCCAGCAGACCCAAGTGGAGCAAAAGATCACCCAACTGAGCCCTGCTGACCCACAGAATCATGAGAAATAAAAATAGTTGTTTTAAGCTAGTAAGTTTATCATTCGTTTGTTCTGAAGCAAGAAATAGCCCACGAATGGCAGCCGGTTAAAATCCCTCTAAATAGTCCTGGTGTGGCACTGTGGGTTAATGCGCTGGACTGCAAAGTTGGTTTAAACCGCAAGGTCAGTGGTTCGAGCTCACCAGCCGCTCCTCGGAAAGCCTATATAGGGTTGCTATGGGTTGGGTCTGAACTGACTCGATAGCACTTAACAACAACAAAATATATTTAAAAGAGCTCTTTTCAGAAATATAAAATAAACATTATATAATTTTAATTATTATAATTTTGTTTTTTAATAAAAAGCACCATCTCATAGTTTACTCGGCAGCATTTTTTCTTTCTTTCTTAGTGGTACATATAATAGTGTGTCTTAGAATTAATGACCTACTTAAGGTCAAGTTTGTTTTTGCAAACACCACTTCATTGTCACCCTTAGAGTCATTCTACATGGTAATAGGACAATTCCCATTTTACAATAAAGAAAGGTAAAGCTTAGAGAGGTCACGCATTATGTCCAAGGCCACTGAGCCAAGAAAAGACTGAACCTCGGCCAGAACTGAGTGATGGCTAAGCTGGCCTACAGCCTCAGGTAGTTCACCTGGGAGTACCTGAGTTTTCTTAGATGTAACTGTCAGACAGCAGAAGTTCCCTGAATCAGTAACTTGGTCAGAGGCCAGAGGTTTCTGGAACCCAATTCTCCCCAGGACTCAGGATTGCTGTCTGGAGTGAGGAAGGGAGCCAATGTCAGATACACTTACCATACACCTTGAGCTGCAGGGTCTGGATCTGAGTCCGGCCCCCCATGTCTACCAGCAGAACAGAGAAGTTGCCGCTATCTCCAGACTCCAGTGGCCGCAGCTCCAGGCTGAGGTTCTTGTGCAGCTGTGCTCGGCCCAGGAAGCGGGAGTGGTAGAGAGTCTGCGAGGAGTTCTGGAAGAATGTGGCCAGGAGCTCCTCTGAAGGCCAGAGAGATCGCCAAATGGCATCACGAACTTGGAATCCCTGGGGGTGCTTTGCCACCAGCAGCACAGAGCCTCCCACCTGTCCCTGGATGTTTGTACCAGTAACTGCCATGGGAAGCAGAGCTGAAAGAACAGAGCACCTGTCACTCTGGCGTGCCCCCTACACCTCAGCCTTCTCCATCACACAGCTGGATGACTGGGAATAGGCCCCCTCTACTCATGCTCCTCCATTCAGGTTGAGAATGTACTGGGAGCAAAACAAGAAAGAAAATCTGGTTCCTGTGCTCACAGAGCATGATGGGAACAGGGGGCCCTGGGTGCAGCAAAATGTTAAGCACTCAAATATTAGCCAAAAGATTGGTCATTCGAACCCATCAAAAGACAGGCCTGGAAATCTGCTTCCAAAAGGACAAAGCCTTGAGTTAGAACTAACTGAAAAATCAGCCACATGATGGGAAAGAATGGAGTGGCATCAGAGAATACAGGCTGAGTGATAGGGAGACCTTACCCAGCCTGGAGGGGCTCAGAGGAGAAATGTAAACCGAGGTTTTAGGAGGAATGGGAATCAGACAGGGCAAATGGCGGCTGTCTGGAAGGGCATGGGGAAGTGTTACCATCTGAGGGAACAGCATGTACAAAGACCTGGAAGGAGGAAGCCTGGGGTGCTGGGGAACTGAAAGTAGTGCTCTGCAGGGAGAGGAAGAAATTACACTGCAGAGCTGTTCGGAGCCATATCATGCAGGGCTCTGAAAGCCACAGTGGAGTTGAGGCTTTATCTTTCTAGCAATGGGGGGCCTTGGATAGGTTTTAAGCAGGAGAGTAACATGATTAGTTGCATGGTTTGAAAGATTACTCCAGCAGAGATGTGGAGAAGGCATTGGAGGAAGGGCAAGGCTGAGTCTATTTATATTAACATAAGGAGAGGTAGAGGTGTAGAGAAGACATTGTAATCAGGGCAAGGCTGAGGCTGGTTTTATTAATGTCAAGAGAGATGACAGAAGCTTGCATGGAGGAAGATGGCAACAGGGATGGGGAGGAGTGGGAGGAATGAAGATGATGTAATCCATAAGACTTGGTTAAAGATTAGACCTGGGGTATGAAGGAGAGAAGAGTCAAGGATGGCTCCTGGGTCCTTGGGATCCACTGGGTGCCATACTCTGTGATCAGGGACACTGGAGGAGAAACAGACAAGGGTGAGATGGCAAGATGCTGAGTTTAGGTAGGAACATAATGTGTGGGGGGGGACACCGTCCTGACTCCTTCCTGAGCTGATTTCTGCATAGCCTTCAAGCCTGTCTGCTACACCCCACTCCAGGTTACAAACTCTGCCACTGTGTAACATTGGTCTGAGCTCACCACTATTAATCCCCTTAAACCATAGACTCATGGTACTTATGTGCCGTGGAGTCGGTTCCGACTCATAGTGACCTTGCATAGGGTTTCTGAGGCTGTAAATCTTTACAGGAGCAGAAAGCCTCATCTTTCTCCCACGGTAGGGCTGGTAGTTTCGAACTGCTGACGTTGAGGTTGGCAGCCTGACTCCTAGTTACTACACAACCAGAACTCCTTCCATAGATTCATAGCAACCCTATAGGGCAGAGTAGAACTGCCCACACCAAGTCTTTTCTCGTGCTGAGTGGCTGGTGGATTTGAACTGTGAACCTTGGGATTAGCTTCTCAGCACTTCACCAGGACTCCTTCTTACTCCCTCTGTCTCCATCAGGAGCCCTGGTGGTCAGTGGATAAAGTGGTGAGTTGCTAACCAGAAGGCTGGCAGGGCTGTTCTAACCCACCAGCCTCTCCACCTGGTGGCACTACCGCACAGCTATGAGTTGTAACCTACTCGACCACACTGATATCCCTCGTTATAGTTGCCTGTTGATGAGTCACTGTCTCCCGCTAGACTGAGAGGTCCTCATGGACAAGGACACCTTCTCACTCAGCTTTGTACTCCTGGTCCTTACCATCATGTAGGGCCAGGATACAGAAGATGCTCAGTAAATGTTATTGACTGCCTGAATGAACATTCTGAGGACTGAACTTGCACCTGGCATGGTGTCAGAGCAGAATAAGAGCTGATGTGTAGCATACCCCAATGCTGGCGGTGTGGTGAAGGAGACATGTTCTGATGGACACTCAGCCAGTGACTGATAACGGAGGTCCCATGTCCATCTCTCTGCCCTCCTGGATCCCCACAGTCTCCAGCCCTGACTGGCAATGGTCTCCGTGTTAATGCAGGAAGGAGACTTAACATACAGAGATGGCAGTACTAGGTTTAATCAAGGCTCCCAGGTTTGATCTAGCCCTGGTCCTGTCACAGATTAGTTGTGTGACTTTCAGCAAATCTTCCTCTCACTAGACTTCAGATTTCCCACCTGTAAAGCAAAGAGGCTGTACAGTGAGCCCTTTAAAAAAATGTATTTTCCTCTCACATGTCCAATGATTTGAGAGACTCTGTGAACCAGACAGATCCAGGCTTTTTTTTTTTGGAAGAATATGGTGTGATTTTCCTGACAAGATTTGTCATTACATTGGCTCTGACTCATGATGATCTTGTGTATAATCCAACACAATGTTGCCCGATCTATGCCATCTTCATGATTGTTGGTATGCTATTGTGTAGTGCCTTCCAAACTAGGACTCATCTTTCAGTGCTATATTGGACAACAGTAAGGCTTTCATTGATTAATTTTTAGAAGTAGATCACCAGGCCTGTCTTTCTAATCTTAGTGCAGAAACCAAACATCCATTAACATCAAGTTAATTCCAACTCATAGCAAGCCAGTAGGCTAGAGTAGAATTGCCCCATAGAGTTCCCAAGGCCATACATCTTTATAGAAGCAAACTGTCACATCTTTCTCCCATGAGGGACCCTGCTGACATTTGAAATACCAGTGGTATAGCTTCCAGCCTCAAAGCAACACACAAACTATCATAGTATGACAGACTGACACATAGGTGGTGGTCACAAGGTTTAAAAATATTAAAAATACCTGCAGCACCTTTGAAAGGGCCCTCAGAGCCAAGAACCCAGTGGAGGACCCAGGACCAAGTAATCTTAAAGTCGCCAAGTGTCTGGTAGAAACAAAGATGTCTTTGTCTCTGCTACACCTCACAGCCCCTATCACTTAGGCCTGCAATGCTGGCCTTGTTCCATCAGTCACTTGCTGACCAAGCAAGGGGATTCAGACATTTAGACAACATGGAGGGGTCACCCAGTCTAGGCAGAGACTCAGTGTGTCAGTCATTTCAGCATGACACCATCATCAGCCTCCTGTAAACCCACATGAACCACATTTAACTGGCTTCCCCCACATCATGCTCGCTTAATATTCACCTCCCTTTATACAGGCCAGAAGGGAGGGACCTCTGATGTTCCTTTCATCCTCTCAGCCCTCCTCAGACTACAAGGGACCCTACTCTGCCCTCTCCTTCCCCAATCTGTACGTAGAATTTCCACGTGTTAACACCGACGGACTATTCACCAGTCTTGTTCCCATTTGGGTCTCCAAACCACTAGCCATCAGCAGCCTCCATTTCTATTGCCCAAGGCCACAAGCAGCTTGTGTCTTGTGAGTGCTCTCAGGGCTACCACCTCCTCCCACTCAGGGATCCATAAATCTTTGCATCTATCTAGTTTTAGTTGCTGCCTAGGAACTTGTTGTAGTCTTCTGTGCCCTTTCTCAGCTCTGGGAGTCTCACTCAGGAGTCTAACCCAGAGGCCTGATGAATGACAGCTGGGGACAGGCCTTCAGATCTCTGAGCATGGAATGTGCATCCACCCCACTTACCTTCCCAGAGAAGCAGACTCCACATGGCCATTCTTCTCCAGAGAGGCAAGCACATTCTACCAACAACCCGAATCCAGTGTATCCCAGACTAAGTGGATGCATGGACGGAACTGTGGTCCTTCTGGAAAGTCCCATGTCCAGAAGGAGGAATCTTGACTCAAAACCAGATGCCCCAAAAGTGAAAATGTCCAAAGTGGAAGTTGGCGGTAGGCCTAGCTGGGGTTTTTAGGAACAGATTCTTGTAAGTTGGTCTCTTTCCTATATGGTTGACTAATGTAATCAGAGGCAACAGACACAAACCCACGTCTTCCTGGCTGACTCTCACCAGGTCTCCAACGTCCTGCTCTCTGTCTCCCCTGTTGGAACCAGAGAAGCCCTCAAAATTCCAATTCCAATCAAGTCACCTCTCCTCTGCTCACAAATCTTTCTTGGCTTCCCACTGCTCCCAGGATAAAGACTACACTCCTTGGTGTAGCGTGCAAGGTTCTTCTGAGACTGACTTCTCACTTTCACTCTGTTCCCCACCACACCAAGCCAGAACTATTTGGTCTCAGAGCTACCTATTGCATAATTCATGCTTTGGAATTCATCCTCTTAGACTCAGTGTAGTGATGTGGCCCACCAGACCCACCCTCCAGTCTTCCTGATCCTAGGCAGAATGAGCACCTTCCTCTGGCTTTAGTAGTGCCCTTTTGCATGTTTGTAAGTTTTCTGGTCTCCTTAGCCTAGTTTTGTCAGCAAGGCTTTGTATTCGTGTCCATGTCCCCATTTGCCCTCAGTTCATCATAGATACCTGACAGAGCAAAGAGTGAATGGATTATGCTATTGTTACACGCTGGCAAGTCGATTCGTACTCATGGTGGCCCCCTACATGAAGAAAAGACTGTTTCATAGGGCTTTCCAGGCCACGGCTTTTTGGAAGCTGATCTCTAGGCCTTTTTATTGAGACACCTTTGGGTTTGTGCCAGCTGCTAATCTTTTTGCTAGTAGTCTAGTACTTAAATGTCTGCACCACCCTCGTTCGTTTCATTGCAGCCCTACAACTCTTTCTTGAAGGAGAGGGGACTTGGGAATCAGAGTGAGTTAGGCATCTTGGTGAGGTTGCAGAGGGGCAGAGCTGGGGTCTGGGCTTCAGCCTTCAGTTGTAGTTCATTTTGCCACAACCTCCTCCTCTTCACCCTTTTCCTCCTCTCACTTCAGGTCACTTGACTTGTTTCTTAACTCAGGGGAGGCTCTGTGGGAAGGCGTTGCTTCTCTCCCTAGAGGCATGCTCCTTCAGAAAATTCCTAATTGTTTCATGTGGCTCACTGTGTCTGGACCTGGATAGCTCCTGACTTGTCAGTCAAACTAGAGGCTCTGTTTTGGACCTATGGAGGCATTAGGCATTTGGGGGCTGGGGTATGTGGAGGGAGTGTGAATTGGAGGATTTTTGAGATAGTGGGTGGGTGGGGGTCTTGCCCTCCAGATACTCAACTAAAATACAGAAATAGGGTACATCGGGGGAAACGGGCCTGGCAGGCTTTGCCTTGTGCAAACGGTGGATCTCTGTGGCTCTGAGGTGGGAAGATCTCCTAAAGAGGTGTAATCTGAGCTGGGCCTGGAAGATGGGCAAGAGAAAAAGGAGAGGACCAGAGCTGGGAGTGAGCTCTGATCACAGGGGAGAGCAGTATGTGTAAGACTTTCATTTTCTAGGGCTGCCAAACCACAAGGAAATCAGGGGTGGATTATCCAATTAGCAGAGGTCAGCATGTCAACATAAAAATTTGGGGGACACAATTCAATCTTTAACAGCTGGGTCTTGGGAAAGCACATCGTAGGTTCCAGGGCCTGTGAAGGACTGCAGCAAGGAATCCGTCAGGACTGAATTGGGTAATCATGCAGAAAGGAGGCTGGGGGTCAGATTCTGGAGGCCTTGAATGCTGGGCTAAGCATTGGGCATTTATTCTGCTTCTCAACCTTGTGAAAGACTTGGTTTCTCAGGGAATGTGATTCTGGGATAGGTCTGGGAGAAGGTGCATCATGGTGGCATAATGGTTAAGTGCTCGGCTGCTAACAGAAAAGTCAAAGTTTAAACCCCCCCAGTGACTTCATGGGAGAAAAGACTTGGTGATCTGCTCCCCTAAAGATTGGTGATGATGGTGGTTATGTGCCATGGAGTCAGTTCCGACTCATAGCGACTGTGCATAGGGTTTCCAAGGCTGTAAATCTTTACAAGAGCAGAAAGTCACATCTTTCTCCCGCAGAACTGCTGGTAGTTTCAAACTGCTGACCTTGAGGTTAGCAGCCTGACTCATAACCACTATGCTACCAGAGCTCCTTTCCCATAAAGATTACAGCTTAGGAAACCCCATGGGAGAGCGCTCCTCTGTTTTAAAGGGTCACTAGACACTGGAATTGACTCAGTGGCCCAGACTACCACCAACTAGGACTGGGATGGGGCTCAGGAATCTGTAGCTTTAACAAGTGCTCTAGATAATTCTGGGGAGAGTGGTGGATCTGCAGGCTAAGCACTGGGTCACAAACCACAAGTTCAGCAGTTTGAGTCAACCAGCTGCTCCGCAAGAGAAAGATGAAGTTGTCTGCTCCCGCCAAGATATACAGCCTCAGAAAGCCTAGACAGGGTCTCTGTGAGTCAGAACTGACTGCACAGCAATTTAGAACAACTAGATGATTCTGAAGGTGTTGGTCTGAGGGTGCACTCAGAAAAACGGTGCTTGTGTGTGTTGATTGTTTTGAGTTGGGAAGAACTTGCTAGTGGGGAGACAGCCTGCAGTGCAGGGAAAAGGAGGCAGAGAAGCCCAAGCGGCACCTGTTACAATGGCCACTGGGATAGGGTAAAGGGCCTTGCCCAGGAAAGAAAGATCTAGAGTAGAGAGAAAGGGGCAGAGGCAGCAGGGTCCTGACAGAAAGTGGAAGCAACCTGGCTCTGCAATACAGAGTCTCAGGGAGAGGACTCATTTATGACCTCCTCGTTAATGCTATGTCATTCATTCATGAGACATTTATTGAGCATCTTTTTATGTGTCAGGTGCTGGAGACACAGACATAAAAGGCACAACGCTTGACCTCAAGGAGGTCACAGTTTTGTGGGGAAGACGGACACGGAACCCAATAATTACAATGACCGTGCAAAGAGCAATGCCGGATATGTGCACACGATGCTCTGGGAGTCTGCGCAAGATGTCTGACGCACCGAGGAGTTTTGGGAAGGCTGAGGGGAGGGAGACTTATTTGAGAAGGCTTAAGGAGTCTTGGAGCTCTGGTAGCGTAGTGGTTACGAATCGGGCTGCGAACCTTAAGGTCAGCAGTTCGAAACTACCAGCTGCACCGCGCGAGAAAGATGAGGCTTTCTACTCCCGTAAAGATTTACACCCTCGGAAACCCTATACAGGGTCGCTATGGGTCGGAACCGACTCGATGGCACATAACAACAACAACAACAAGGAGTCTTGGTAGCGTAGTGGTTGCGAATCGGGCTGTGAACCTCAGGGTCAGCAGTTTGAAACTACCAGCTGTTCCGCGGGAGAAAGATGAGACTTTCTGCTCCCGTAAAGAGCTACAGCCACGGAAACCCTGTACAAGGTCTGTATGAGTCGGAACCGATAACACCGCACATAACCACCACTGCTAAGGAGTCCTGCTGTGGCGCTGTGGGTTAATGAGTCTGACTGCAAAGCCCTTTGAACTTCAAGGTAGGAAGTTCAAACTCAACAGCCACTCCTCAGAAACCTTATACAGGGTTGCTATGCGTCGGAACTGACTCAATGGTACTTAACAGCAAAGGAATCCTGGTGGTGGTGCGGTTTAATGCACTGGACTGCGATGGCGGTTTGAACCGAAAGGTTGGCAGTTCAAGCTCACCAGCCGCTTTTTGGAATCCCTGTACAGGGTCGCTGTGAGTCGGAACCGATTCGATGGTACATAACAACCACCACCACAAGGATACACATAGATGAGAATAGAAGGTAAGAACTCAAACTTCAGAGTCAGACTTATTAGGTCCACATGTTAGTTGTGAAACTGAGTAAAACTTTGAGTAAAGTAGAACTCGATGTTTCAGTGTCTTCATCTGTGAAATGGGCATTAATAATTGTGCCTGCCTCTTGGAATTAGATAAAAGAATGCATGTAAGGGCTTAGAATGGTATCTGGCACAAAGTAAGCCCCCAAATATTATCCACTGCTACTGAAGGACATCATGGTTGGTAGAGACTAGGGTCAGCAAAAAAAGAAAGAGCCCCTCAACCAGGTGGATTGATTCAGTGGCTGCAGCCATGGGCTCAAACACAGCAACAGTTATGAGGAAGGCGCAGGGTCAGGCAGTGTTTTGTTCTGTTGTGTACAGTCTGTATAGTCAGAAACAAATTGATGGTGCCTAACAACAACACTAAAGGGTCAGAGGTAGGGAAGAGGGGAACCCTGGTAAATGTAGGGAAACATCTGTTTGAGGCATGAGGTAATACTCTGCTCCAATGCTCCTGGACTGAGAGCTTTATGAAGGCAGCAATGAGATCCACTGTATTTCTTTCCTCTGTACAGACCCAGGGACTTTCTTTCTTTTTTAAAAATGTTTTATTGTGAATTTTATGGTAGTTTACATGAGAGAACTTTAGTTTTACATTCATTCCATCGTATATCATCTCACTGCCATGGTTCCAATCCCCTCCATGCATCATCAACCAACCCACAGGGTATATCCTAGAAAACCGCCTCCCCCTCCCCGTTTTTGGCCCACAGTCCCTTTCCCTTTCTGGATCCAAAGTCCCCAGCCTCTTCATTACTCCACGCCATCGTCTCTGTCTCCATCTCAGGCATCTCTGTTTCTCTGGGTAGGGTCCTGCTCTTGGCTTTTCTCCGTTGATGGTCCCAGAGACCTCCGCTCCTAGCCTGTAGAATTAATCACTCCCTTCCTTGTTCCAAAACGTATACCTTTGCATTTCCAACCCTCATAATCCGTCCTGATAAGCATTATTCACTACAGTATCACAAGTTACCCATCTGTATTTCCTTTCATCAGTTCCGCCCAGACAGA